AGGCTGGAGGTGACTGGGATGATCCAGCTGCAGGATTGGGATGAGGAGCAGATCCAGGAGGAGACAGATGTTGCCTTTCCCAAATGCAAATAAAGAACAAAACATCTTCTCTTTCTTCCTGCAACCCTTCCATAAAATACAGATCCTGGGATAAAGCAGAGCACGGGAAGGGGCAGCGTTTCCCATAAACTCCCTGTCTCCCACTATTTTACAGAGTTAAAAATGCAGTGTTTTATTTAGGATTTATGCTCTCCCAGCATTTTAAAGATGGAAAGGGCTGGAGCTGAGGTTGCCAAAAGGGGAAGCATTTATAAATCCCTGATTTTATTTCCTTTCCCTGAATGTGATAAAGTGGGAGCTGCTCAGCTCCTGTCACCAGCAGTGTCACAAACCTGGGACAGAGCTGCTGCAATTCCCATGCATCAGACTCCAAGGAATTGGCAGAACTTTGTGGGAAGATGAGGAGGAAACAGATCAGGAAATTATTCCTTGGATGCTCCGTGTCCACACAATTCCCACTGTTTGTTCCTGTGGGGCAGGAGCCGGCACCAATCCCACCCTGAGGGATCTGGGACGTTTAGGGACACGGAGTTTGGAGCAGTTGTGGCATTGCTGAGATCCCTGGGATGGTCTTCTCTCATCCCAGCTGGAATTTGCAGTGCCCAGTCCAGCAACAATTCCTTTAAGGGATTCTTTTCCTCAGGGATAAATGGCTGAGTGATCCCAAAGAAACACCAGAAGGGGAATCCTGGCTGATGATTTTTTCTAAAAGGGGGCAGCTGAACCTCTTTCGTTTTATCTTAAAAACAAAAATTCCCAGGCCTTTAGGAATAAGGAATGTGGAATCCAAGGATGCAGAATGTTTTTAGATGAGGCTTTCATGGGCTACAAATTGACAGCTGCGAAATGCAGGTGTCAGAAACAGCTGGTCCTGAGCCAGATTTATTGTCTGAGATCCCAAGATGAAGGAGGTGGGAACACCTCAGGGAAAGCTGGGCTGAGGAAGCCACGGAGCCAGCCATGAAATCCTCTTGAAACGTGGAAAACAGCTCCGGGTTTGGAGGTGGAGTGGGAAATGGAGAGAGGGATCCTTTGCACCAGAGTGAAATCAAACTCCAGCTCCCAGATCCGCTAAAACCGGCAGAATTGGGATAGGAGCCGCTCTGCCTCCTGGAGCTCCATCGAGGGATGAGAGTAAATGGTCTTGGAAGCTCTGGATTAGGACACTTCAGTCTGTTTTGTGAATCGGGGGGAATCTGGGGGATTGCAGAGCTGGGAGGGGGATGGAGTTTCCTTGCTTTGAACAACTTTAAATACAGGGATGGAGAGAGGGACTTTGGATAAAGGCCTGGAGTGCCGGGACAAGGGGAATGCCTCAACCCACTTCTGTTCAGGACGTTTCTCCAGCTTGTAGATCCTGGTGGAGGTTGGGATGGAGCAGCTGGAGTGACTTTTCCATTTGCTTGGATTCTCTAATTCGGTGCCACAGTGATTTCATCCCATTTTTGACCTTACACTGGTACAGGGCTGGTGGAAAATGTTTGGATGTTTGGATGCACTGCCTGGAGGGATTGAATGCTGCACAACAAATGCTCATGACTGAAAATGTTCAGCTGGAGAAGGGAAGGCCCCAGGGAGAGCTCAGAGCCCCTTGCAGGGCCTGAAGGGGCTCCAGGAGAGCTGGAGAGGGACTGGGGACAAGGGATGGAGGGACAGGAGCCAGGGAATGGCTCCCAGTGCCAGAGGGCAGGGATGGATGGGAGATTGGGAATTGGGAATTGCTGGCTGGGCTGGAATTGCCAGAGCAGCTGTGGCTGTCCCTGGATCCCTGGCAGTGCCCAAGGCCAGGCTGGACATTGGGGCTGGAGCAGCCTGGGGCAGTGGGAGCTGTCCCTGCCATGGCAGGGTGGGATGGGATTTAAGGTCCCTTCCAATCCAAACCATTCTGGGATTCTGGGATTCATCATTTTTTATTTCTCTTCCAAGCTTTGTTGGCCAACATTGCTCTGGTGGGGTGGTGGCTGATTTGGGGGGATTTGTCTGGAATCACAGAATCCCAGGATGGATCAGGCTGGAAGCGGCCACAGAGGGTCCCTGGGGCCACTCCCTGCTCCAGCAGGGCCATCCCAGAGCTCAGGGCACAGGGGTGTGTCCAGGTGGCTCTGGAATATCCCAGGAGGAGACTCCAGCCCCAGCTCCCTCAGCCTTTCCTGGTCACGGAGATGCTCCAGCCCTTCCTCATCCTCACTTCCCTCCTCTGGAGCAGATCCAGGAGCTCCAGGTCCATGTCCTGCTGATCCCAGAGCTGGACCCAGGATCCCCAAGGATTAAGACTCCACAAACTCTGGAGCACCTGGGCTTTGAGGTGGGAAGCCCATTAAGAGCTGAGATGCCAGAAACCTCCCACATTCCTGTCATGCCAGCCACAAATGATCTTCCCACCCCAAAATCCACATCTTCCCAACCTCCAGGCTCCCAAACACGAGCTGAACTTCCTGTGTGATCCAACCCGACTTCTGCTTCCATTAAAAGCTCTGGGAAGCCTCGGAGAAAACCGACAAACCAACATCCTCACATCCCTCCAATGGATCATATCCAGGAGCTCCAGGCCCCTCCCATCCCATGGATCCAGAACGAAAGGCTTTGGGGACCAAGGACATTTCCGAGTTCCCCATAACTCCCACGCTTCCAGAAGCCACCTCTGCTTTCCCTGCGCTCCAAACCCCAGCCCCGCATCCCAAAGTTTACAAGGGAAGCTCTTCGGTGTTGTGTTGTTGAATTTCCAGCCTCTCCATTCCCAGTGTTGTTTTCACAGGGATTTTGGGATAATGCAGCTCCTCACGGCGCCTCATTATTCCCCAAAGGTGCTGGTGTTGTTCGAGTGCCCCTCTTGTGACAAGTGGCTCATTACGGCTCTTCTCAGCCCCCCCCAGAGATCCCATTATATCCAGCCACACTGGAAGTGGGAAGAGGATAATTTGCATCCAGCGTGAGCCTTTCCCATTATTCCCACTTCTCAGGAACAAGGAAAACAAATCGTCTCGACCGCTGCTCCCTTTTTATTCCCGCCGCAGTCCCTTTCTTCCAGCGGCGGTTTTGCTTTGCTCCCTCTCCTTGGAATATTGTTTGCTCCTCCACTCCGGGCTAATTGAAGGTGCTCCTTCCCCAGGAAATTGGGAAAAATATCTTGGCTAAAAGGGCTTTTTATCCTTGGAAAAGAAAAGCGTGGTTGCAGAGAAAAGCTGTATCAATAATTGGTGTTTATTCCCGGGATTTTGCCTTTGTTCCTTTGCATTTTGGGTTTTTTTTGAGGCATTTTTTCCCTCCTCTTCTCACTTTCCTGCTGATGGAAATTGTCCCATTTGGAATTTGAAATGCCTCTAATCCCTCTCTATTTCCACCTGGATCAGAGATAGTTTTGAGGAGAAAATCCCTAAATTCGGTGTTTGTTTTGTCACAAACTCCTAAAATCCCAATTAAGGGGAGTAATGAGTCCATACCCCTCCCATATTCCATGTGACAGGCAGTCCATGTTTTCCCAGGTTTTTCCAGGCCTTTCCCAATAATTCCCACTGCCAAATCCCTGCACAGGTACAGCTGTAAGTAGAAACTTTGGGAAGTGGAAAATCCACATCTTGCTTTGGATTTTCTCTAATAAAAAGCTTCTTTTGGACTTTTCCAGATGGAGAACACACGGAAATATTTTGGTTTTCCAGGTTTCCCCTGATTTTTGGATATTTTGAGTGGTAAAATGGAGCACAGCTAAGCCTGGATTGGGTTTTTCCCCATCCTGTTTCTCATGGATGGGGCAAGGATGGATGTATTTCACGAAAGATCTTGGAATTATGGAATGGTTTGGGTTGGAAAAGACCACAGGAAGGGACATTTTTGGTGACACCAGGTGGCCCCAAGCCCCATCCAACCTGGTCTTGGACAATTCCAGGGATGGAATATCCACCCCATCCCTTGGCAAACGCTCTCCGTGAATTTAAGTCAACATGAATTGAAGTTTAGTGGATTTAGGAATGTTCTGTCCTCCCTTTGGGAACTCATCCTTAGTTTTTCCCACATTTATGAAGGATGAAGACTGGGATGTGCTGGTGATCCCTTCGTTTTCCCAATTCCCTGGGAGATTCCCTTTTCCTGCTTTGTCCAAACCACAACTAAAAGATGCCCTGCAAGATCAGGCACCTCTCCAGGTGCTTCAGGACAACTCCAGAGCCTTTCCGCTTGGGAATGTGGAGGGGAAAGGTGGGATGGAGGCAGCAGCAGCCACTGGGAATATCCAAATCCAATGCCATCCAGCTCTGGGATGGAATTTCCTGTTATTTGTGCCTGGAGACTCCTGGTGTAGTTTAGGAGGGTTTGGGGCTCTATTTTGGCAGCAATGAAGAGATTCCAACCTGCCTTTGCCACTGGATCCATGAATTTTTCCTCTTCCATGCCTGGAGGAGGGAAGTAGTGATAGAGGCAGAGCACGGCCGTGAATCCTTAAAAAAAGGTGGATGGAGGAAAATAATCCTAAAATGTGGCTCTGGAAGAAGATAGTGAACAAAATCACTCCAAACATGAGGAGAGGGATGGGCGAAGTTGGAATTTAACCCTTGGATCCTGGGAATGAGGAGTTGGATCTCAACCCTTGGATTATGGGAACGAGGAGCTGGCTGCAGTTGGATCTCAATCCTTGGATCCTGGGAATGAGGGGTCTCAACCCTTGGATTTCAGGAATGAGGGGTGCCTGCAGTTGGATCTCAACCCTTGGATTTCAGGAATGAAGGGCTGGATCCAGTTGGATCTCAACCCTTGGATCCTGGGAATGAGGGGATACTGTTGGAACCCTTGGATCGGGAATGCCCAGCTGCAGTTATTTCCCAATGATTTCCCTGTGTTTTCCCTCCTTTTCCCAATGGATGGGTGAGCTCTTGGCTGGTTGAGTTATTCCCTGGCTGCCTGGCCATTCCGTGTTTTCCGGTTTCCCTAATTCCGTTCTTTTCCCGCAGGAAAAGCCTATGCCCCGGAATTCTACTACGACACCTACAACCCGCTGTGGCAGAACCGGCCGCGGGTCTATTCCTACAGCCTGCAGTGGACGCAGATGAATCCCAACGCCGTGGATCGGATCCTGGCCTATCGCCTGGGAATCCGCCAGGTGAGACGGGAATCGCCCAGGCGGGATCTGCCTTTGGAACCTCCTGGGCTCTGGGATATCCACTGAGCCTTTGGGGAATTCTGGTTTATTTTATTTTATTTTATTTTATTTTATTTTATTTTATTTTATTTTATTTTATTTTATTTTATTTTATTTTATTTTATTTTAATTTATTTTATTCCATTCCATTCCATTCCATTCCATTCCATTCCATTCCATTCTATTCTATTCTATTCTATTCTATTCTATTCTATTCTATTCTATTCTATTCTATTCTATTCTATTCCATTCCATTCCATTCCATTCCATTCCATTCCATTCATTTTTATTTCATTTCATGTTATTTTACTTTATTTTTATCTTATTTCATTTCATTTTGTTAATTTAATTTTATTTTATTTCATTTTACTTTTTATTTTTATATTATTTTATCTTATATTATTTTACTACTTTTTAAATATATTTTTAAAATTTTATTCCATTTTACTTTATTTTTATTTAACTTTTTTACTTTATTTTATTTTACTTTATTCTATTTTTATATTTTATTATTTATTTTATTTTATTTATTTCACTTAATTTAATTTAATTTTTATTTCCTTTTATTTTAATTTTTATTTCATTTTATTTTAATTTTTATTTCATTTTATGTTCTATTTTCCTTTTTTCCTTTTTTATTTTATTTTATTTTATTTTATTTTATTTTATTTTATTTTATTTTATTTTATTTTATTTTATTTTATTTTCCCAGACCATTCCCACAATCCATCCACCTGGAAGTCATCCTTGGCCTCCTCATCCTTCTCCATTTTCCTCCTTCCTTGGGAGCATCCAGCTGATATTTTTTGGGAATTTTGACAGACTCCCACTGAGCTTTTCCTTCAAATAATTCCCCAACAGATTGATCCCGAAAATCTTTCTTTGGATATTCAACACCTGGAATAATCATTTGGGAGGGGACGTGGAGGGAAAGGACTCAAACGGATTTTGCAGAGGGATATTTTGGAAAATATAAGGAAGAAAATTGTTATCCCACAGACTTCCCACTGGGATGAGCTTTGGATAAACAAATCCTCAATTTTAGCATTTTGTTTATTGGGATTTGTGCTTGGACAACCTCCCTGGAAGTTCCTGGGACACGCCCAGGGAAGGGCTCTGGTGCCTGGAGGGGGCTGGAGTTGGGATCGTCCTGAATCCAAGGAATTAGCGATGAAAACGGGGATGTTTAATCCATGTTAATGCAATTCCTGGCATTGCTGGATTGCTCCGGGATTCCCAGGCCCTGGGACAAATCAGGAAATACTGGAAAGAACTCACTGAAGGAAAGGAATTTCTAATTGTGTTAAGAATTTTAGCTGATTTTCCCATTTAATTTTCATTTCATTTTCATTATCTGTTTATGGAATTAACGGATTTACTCTGCACCAGCCTAATCCAAATATTCCCATTTTTCTTCCCCAAAGCCCCATTTCTTCGGGAATTCAATCCCAGCCTCTCCTCACCCTCCCAGCCAGGGATTCCTTCCCAATATCCCACTAATCCTGGCTGAGTCACAGAACCGTGTGACACATTCCTGTCACATCCCGCTTCTCTGTTGTCACGGGAATGAAGAGAAATTCCCACCTCAGAGAGGGATTCAGTGCTGGGAAAGCAGGACACAGGGAAAACCTCTGGAATTCCAAGCATTGGTTAAGGAGAATTCCAAGAAAACCATCACGGATAACGTTATAAATAGCATCTGATGAAATAACTGAGCTTGGCTGACAGGTCAGGAGGGGAGGGAAGAGGAGTCACAAAAACAGGGAATTGTCAATTTTCTGCCTCTGGAGTGGGAATGGAAAGATGGGAAAGTGGGAACAGAAGTCCCCCAGGAGAAATGGATTTATTTGAGCACACTGCAGGAATTCTGCAGATTCCTCCTCTCAGGATGATGGGGATCATCACATCTGCTCCAAAGGGGAAGATGTTTGCAAGCTGGGAATTCCCAGCAAATCCATTGGATTTGCTCTGGGACATGAAAAATATTGAAACTTTTCTTCAGAAACAGTCACAAAAATTACATTTGTAGCCATTAATTCAGCGAGGGAAGAGAGAGAGAGTTGGAGCTCCATGTTTTTATTGGAGTATTCCTCACGTTGTTCCCATAAAGGATTTTAATCTTCCTCCTCCAAGGGAATATTTTCTGTCCCAAAGATTTCCCCACATGCATTGATTTTGGAAATCTAAAGAGGCTTTGTTTGTTTTTTGTGGAATGAAGGAGGGAGAGCTTGGCCAAAAAGGAAAGAAAAAGAGATTGTGACATGCAGGGACACGTTTTTTATTGATGCTCCTGGCTTTGGGAAATTAAATTAGAGCAGGAATGGTTGTGATTCCCAATTTCCACTTTTCAGGGCTGATTCCTCCTGTGCTGCTTCTTCACAGCTCTGAGGCTGCATTTGCAAACAGCAAGGTGAGGTTTGGACCAGGTCTGCTCCTGACAACTTAAAACTGGTTCTAAGCTTCAGGTGGATCAGGGAAATGTTTATGGATCATGCTGAAAATAAAATTTCTCCTGATTTTGCCTTAAGGAGTTCAGAGCTGGTAGTTGGAACTCCTGTGGGGAAAGGCTGGGAGAGCTGGGAATGTTCCCCTGGAGAGGAGAAGGATCCAGGGAGAGCTCAGAGCCCCTTGCAGGGCCTGAAGGGGCTCCAGGAGAGCTGGAGAGGGACTGGGGACAAGGGATGGAGGGACAGGACACAGGGAATGGCTCCCAGTGCCAGAGGGCAGGGATGGATGGGAGATTGGGAATTGGGAATTGCTGGCTGGGCTGGAATTGCCAGATTTGCTGTGGCTGCCCCTGGATCCCTGGCAGTGCCCAAGGCCAGGCTGGACATTGGGGCTGGAGCAGCCTGGGGCAGTGGGAACTGTCCCTGCCCATCCAGGATGGGATTTAAGGTCCCCTCAAGTGTCCATGGGGAATATTCCATAAAATTCATATGTGACACCATCAGAACCCCTGGTCTGGATCTTAGACCAACTCAGGAGGCTCCAAACCCTCCTGCGTGGAGCATTTATGGAAAAAGGAGCTGGAAGGGATCCACTGAGACCATCGAGTCCAACCCCTGGACCTGTCTTTGGGAGCCTTTGGGCTCTGAGTTTCCGGGCAGGACCTCACCCTGTCCGTCAGCGGCACACTGGGATGTGCTTTGGGATTTATTTGGTGGCCAAAGGAATCAGCCATAAAACCGGGACATGTGACGCTGTCAGGACACCTGGTCTGCATCCTAGAGCAGCTCAGGAGGTTCCAAATCCTCCTGCATGGAGCATTTATGGAAAAGGGAGTGTGGAGCTCAGGGAATTCCCGTTCCTCAGGGGCCCTGCTGAGCACGGCCCTTCTCTCCCTGAAGGATGGAGACAACCTTGGTGTCCCATCGGGGGAACTGCCCAGGTTTGCTCACCCTCAGCTTCCTTGGGAGTGTGCCAAGGCCTGACAGGACATTCCTGCACAGGAGGGACATTTTTCCATCTCCTTAAGAGCCTTCTGAAGAATATTCCAGCAGCAATGCGTTCCAAGGATGCATTTTTGCATTTCCTTTTTGCATTTCAATGGTGTATTTTTTGTATTTGGCTTTGGAATCAGTGACCCAGATTCTTCCAAGTTTTTTTTTCCTTTTCCAAGCATCCCTGTGTGTATTCCCTGGTCAGCCTTTGGGGACACCAACACTCCAGGAGTTGATTCTATTAAGTGTCCGGTCATGGAATATTTCGGTTGGAAAAGCCCTCTCAGCCCAGCAAATCCAACCTTTCCCCAGCACTGCCAAGGCCACCACAAATCCATGTCCCCAATCCACACTTCCAGGATGGCAACTCCAGCTCTTCCTGGGGCAGCTTGTTCCAAGAAAATGTTTTCCAGAACATGGTCCCAAATTCCCCTTGGAGGCTTCCTCTGCTCCTGGAAGTTTATCCACCCCGACAAAACCGCTTTTGGACCTCCCCTTCACAGAGCTCAGTTTGGAGCAGCCATGAATATCCTCATGCTTTTCCATGAGCTCCACCTGGAGATCCCAGAGCAGCTCCATCCCTGCAGCTGCTCCAACCACCTCTGGCTCCCTCTGGCACCACGTGGAGATGTTTCCTTCCCATGCTTTGCCCGTCCCCAAGGCCAGATTCCCGTTTCTTCCCAATAAACGACAACATTTAGCGGCTCCCAGCATCCGAGGAGCGCCAGGCGGGCGCCTCCGGCTCTCTGATATTTCCTGTCAGCACGATGAAAGCGAATTGAGCCAGGGAGACTTTTCCAGAGCGGCCAGGAAGGGTGTGCAGCTCTGATCTCCGCGGTGGCTGCTCTCAGCAGGTGACGGCGGGTGACAGCCCCGTCCCCGCAGCCGCCGTGGCCTAGAAAAGGAACAGCTCCGCTGTGAAGGAGTCATAAAAATTCAGCTGCTCCCTGTAAACCAGAGAGCAGCTTGTTCCAGCTTGTTACATAAAAGCTTCAAGCTCCCACCTTTCCTTTATTCCCAGCCCCGGGAGCCTGCGGCGTCCGTGGCTTGGGAATGAGAATCTCTTCCAACAGCCCCGAGCAGGGCGCGGCTCTGGAGCTTCCTCCTGGTCACCCTTTGGGCTGGGTGGATTTTTAACTTCTGCTGTCACTCAGCACTGAGCAGGGCCAGGTGGATTCAAATATCCTGGGAAAGGGTTCCTGGGAAGGCTGAGTGGTCACTGGCTGGAAAACAGAGATGGGAATTTTCTGTCGGTGCCACAGCTCGGATCCCCTAGCCCTGGATAAATGGCTATGGATGAAGGGAGTGAGGGTACATTTATTGCCTTTCTGATTAAAGAATCCCACAATCCCAAAACGTTGTGGCTTGGAAACCCAAATCCCATCCCAGCCCAGCCATGGCAGGGACACCTCCCACTGTCCCAGGCTGCTCCAGCCCCAATGTCCAGCCTGGCCTTGGGCACTGCCAGGGATCCAGGGGCAGCCACAGCTGCTCTGGCAATTCCAGCCCAGCCCCTCCCCA